CCCAGGTGTCCTGGGTTATGGACTTAAGTATAAAGGACGAGCGGCTCTGATCCACAGGGCCCTCCTCCCCTGGGATGACCCTGCCCCGGGGTAGGGGGGTGGCTGGACCTCAGGGATGTGGCTATTGCTGCAAGCTGTTGCTGTCAGTGCCCCTGGGATGACCCAAGAGGCCACCACCACTGCTGCTGCTACTGCTGCTGTAAGCTGCTGCTGCTACTGCTGTGGAATGAGTTCGTGTTGTCTGCCAATGGCTCCCGGGATCTTTCCCAGTTACCTAGGGTGGACCTGCGTGTGACGGGTGTGGTGTACAATGGATTTGAAGGGTCTGAGTCCTAGCCCTGACCATACAAATGGAAACTTAGTATAACTAAGATCATGAAACATTTTGGCTTTAGTTATGAATGGCCCTAACCAGACAATTAGCATAGCTATTGCTGTAACCTTACAACTGACGTAGTCTATAGCTATACACCATGTTATTCTCTGATTTCATCAAAGTCCTATGGTTTTAATAGAAGCTTGTAAGAGCAACTGAGTACAGATGGATTAGAGAGAGAGAGAGATTAAAAGAAGAGGTTCAGCCCTAATGATATTAACGAATTAGGTGGGTCATTTCTATATTATTTATTGGTTTAAATTTATTTTATTTCATTTTTATTTTTCCCTCAGCTTTATTGAGGTATAATTGAGAAATAAAAATTGTATATATTCAAGGTGTACGATATGATTTGATATAGGTATGCATTTTGAATTGATTATCATAATCAAGTTAATTAATACATCCATCACCTCAAATAGTTACTTTTTTGTGTATGTGTGTGTGTGTCAAGAACAGTTAAGATGTACTCTCAGCAAATTTCAAAGATACAGTACAGTCTTATTAATTTAGCCATCATGCTGTGCATTAGATCCTCAGCACTAATTCATCTTGTAACTGAAAGTTATTTGTTGATTTAAAAAAGAAGAAAACTAGGGACATCTCCTGTGTCATTTCCTTCACAATTGCATTTCTACGTATATTTATGTTTATTACACATCTCTTTGCTCTGGCAACTTACAGTAGCATTGGATTCTGGCAGGTGTCATCCCAGAACTCTCTCATTCCTATTAGAATTTAGCAGTAGCTCATGAAGGGGATGGGGTGGAGGGAGGTTGGGCAGGTATAGGCAGCAGAAGGGTGCATTGCCTGTAGAGTATTTCCAAACAGTAATAGAACTAAAAGTTGGTCTGCCTTTTATTATCACCAAGCAGGGGCAATGCTAAACAATGTCAGGGAGAAAATCCTGAACTCTTCACAGGGTGGAGAGTTCCTACTGTGTCTCCCACCCTCTATGTTGATGCATTTTGGTAAAGGGAGCTTAAATTCTTTTGGAAACAGAGAAGGTACAGACCTCTCT